ATACACTAAATTAGGCAATAAAGTAAGTTCAAGAAATGAATGCAGATTTGGGTGGAACTGATATATTAAAAGCCTTGAGCTAAGGCATTTATAATGAAAATTATTAAAAAAATAAATACCATTCAGAAACTTTAAACGCTTTTTTATTAACAGATGGAGAGGATTCTCCTAAAAAAATCATTAAGTTAGTATAAAAAAACCAAAGACCTGAAACTAGAATTTATACATTAGGTATTGGGAATCATTGTAGTGAGTATTTAGTTTAAAGATTAGCTGAAGTTGGAAATGGAAAATGTTAATTAGTAGAAGATAATGAAGATATTAATTCTAAAGTTATAGATTTGTTAGAGGATTCCCTAACTTATTATTTAAAAGGATTTTCATTAATACATAATATTGACAAAATTTCATAGATTATTCCTGATCCAAAATCAATAACTTAATTAAAGAAAAATCAAGAGTTAACTTTACAAATTTTATTTTCAAAGAAACAGAAAAAAGAAAATTTAGAATTCAAAATTAATTGTTTTGATCCATAAATGAATAAATAAATTTCTTATGAAGTAAAAATGAATCTTAATAGTTCCAAAGAGAATGAATATTTTCATAAAATAGCTGCTCATAGACTAATAAGGTATTATGAAAAATCAATTTCTTAATAAGCTAAACAAATGGATATGGTTATGATCAATGAAAAATATATAAAAGATTTGGATATTATAAATTTATCATTATAAAATCAAATACTATGTTCTAAAACAGCATTTATTTGTGAAGTATGCTAAAATGAATAAAATCTTTAATCACTGATTAAGAAAAAACTTACAATAAACAAAAGTTCTGAGGAAAATAAAGAGTAAGATGAAATTGAAGTTGACGTTGAAGTTAAAGTTGAAGTTGAAGTTGAAGTTGAAGTTGAAGTTGAAGTTAAAGATGAAGTTGAAGTTAAAGATGAAGTTATTCCAAAAAGTACTAATAAAGGAATTTAATTTTGCCTGAAGAAAAAATAATCAAAACGCTCTTGTAAAATGGTAAAGAGATAATTAGCAAACCGATAAATGCAGATGTGTTGCGACTCAAATTAAAGTTTAAAATCAAAATGTAAAAAATTGGCAGTAGAAGAAGATTCTGATGATTTGATGTTTTAATAAAAACCCTAAGAAATGAGAGAAGATGAAGATTCTGAAGATTTGAAGTCTTAATTCAAAAAATTGCTTACTAAATAAAGTATTCTATGTGCTCCAAAGCCAAAAATACTTTAAGAGGATTAGCAAATGTTAGCATACTTTGAACTAATTGACTGCATGTAAGCAAATGGTAGCTTTCTCTTAGAAATACATATTGAAGATTCACTAAAGTTAAGCAAAATAGAAAATAAATATCATTTAGAAGATCTATGTTGGCCAACAGTAGTTTCTCTTTTTTATTTGGAATTATTTTGTCAGGATTCAAAGAGTTCCTGGTAATTAATTTATAATAAATCCATAAATTATTTAAAAAAGAAAGGAGTTGATATTTTTAGATTAAAACAGAATGCCTTTCAGATTATAGAAAACTTTTTTAGAATTGAAAAATTGATTCTATAAAATTAACTGCTTTCGAAAATATATAATTAATTAATATCCGTTTTATCTTCTTATTATTTCTTTAATTTATTTTTCAATTTAGCTTGCATAATTATATCAAATAGATTAAAGTGTAATTTCAAATATGCTAATTAATTTCGTTTAGATGTAATTATAATAATGATAAGAGGAATAAATTAGAGATTAAATGTAAACAAATTCAATTCGTTTTAATCTAAATTTATTGATTAAAACAAACTTTAAGATGTATTGATGATATTAATATATTTGAAAACTTTATAAAGATCTATAGCAGTAAATGAGTATTTATTTTCTTAACTATTCTTAATTATTAAATAAAATACTTTTTAAATCTTACTTTTGTAAGGAACGTAGTTTTTATTAAATTGGTTGTTTTGAGGCGATTAAAAATAAACTAAAAATAATTTTAGATGAATTCATATTTAATTTACATATTTAATTCTTATTAATCATATTCTAAATTTACAATTGCCCATTTTAATTAGAGGAATATTTGGGATTAAAAAAATAGGTTTAAGTGTTAATTTTCTAATATTTTCGTAGTATTCTACCTAATTATATTAAGTAAATTGATTATAGATATAGTATTACAACTTTTCATGAATTGGGGAAGATGTAGTTTACATAATTAATGAATTAAATATGGGAAAATGATAAAAGTAAGCTTAAATTTGAAAATATATCCAAATCAAATTCTTCATCCAGCCCAAATTTATAATCGATGATAGAATCAAAAATATCATAATGTTGTTTTATTTATGATCTATTCAATAACATATAAATATATGAAATTTAAAAGAAGTGAATTTATTTTTGTTATTTTTAACTTGTAGGATGGATTAAAATTATATGATGATATATTAAAATATATTGGGGATAATGAATAATTGATATTATCAATCGATAGCTGAAATCAATTGGCTATCTTTCAAATTTTACTATATATAACTAATTTTCTATTCCATCATACTTATAAATACTTAATCTGAAAAACTAAGATATTCTTATAATTCAAAAAAAAAGGAGAGAAACAAAGTGGAAATCATAATTATTTGGATTAATAAATCAAAAATGATTATAGATCTTTTCCAGATGATTAATTCTTTTAGTATTCGATATTCCTCATCAACTACTTTACTTAATTGATTAATTAAATATTTCCTTAGTTTTTATAAATAAATTTCGAAATATACTTTAATTTTATATTTTTGCATTCTACTCTTAATTTTTGTCAATGTATTTGAAACTAAAATTATTTTTAGAATCATATTGTTTTTAAGATCCCCATAAATAGAAATTCAAAAATCAAGCAAAAACTACTTTATCATTAATTTTTTAACATATTCACTTTACACCAAAATTTATTGAAAATAAATTTTGAAAACTCAATATTTGATTTCAAAAATAAATCTGTTAATATGTTGTATTTTATTTATCAGTTCTTTTATACATAATCAATTTTATAATCTTTTAAAAAGTATAATTATTGATTTAGAATCATAGAAAATAGACAAAATAAGAAATTTAAATTAAGTTTGATTTATATTAATTAATTCTCATTTTATTTTTATCTTTGAATCATTAAATTAAACAATTAAGTGAACATAATGAACTAGGATTTTATATGATTTAACCTTTTTAAATTTTATTTCCCTATTGTGCTATTAAGCTTAATTTTATTATTTACCTTTAATTCAACTTTACTACCTTTTGTACGATATCTAGTACTTTTTCAGAAGTGCTTTCAATCATAGCATCTCTATTCATTTAATATAATTCTGAAGAAATTTGCTGCATTACCTACAAGTAATAATATAAATTCCAAAACAATTCTTATAATAAATAAATTGAGTTTTATTTTCTGCTTTTTAAATAAATTTCATAGATTCTCATATTTGATAGCTATCATAATCTTTCATATATTTATTATCATCTTCTAAATTACTTATTCTTTTATTTTATTAACTATTTTAAATCTGTCTATGTCATTAATTAAACTGTTAATTTTCTTTCTAATATAATGAATTTATCCTTCACATCATTTAA